CTCATCACAGAACAATCATCTCATCACAAAACAATCATCTCATCACAAAACAATCATCTCATCACAGAACAATCAGCTCATCACAAAACAATCAGCTCATCACAGAACAATCATCTCATCACAAAACAATCAGCTCATCACAGAACAATCATCTCATCACAAAACAATCATCTCATCACAGAACAATCATCTCATCACAAAACAATCATCTCATCACAGAACAATCAGCTCATCACAGACATCTCAAACTGTCCAGGCTTAATGCCCTCTGCAACACCCTAATTGAAGAGGCAGGACCTCAGAGTTTAACGCCCATCTCAGAAAGGGCCGAGCAAAGTGGGGATTTAGAGTAAAATGCCTTTCCAAAATCTGTGGTATGGTAGTCTAGACACTGGACAACTGACACCACACAAGCTCATCAGAACTAATAGAACAGGACAAAATGTTTAGCGGGGTTTTCATTTCAGTAAAAAGAAGCATATCGACAATTACTTAAACGGTCATTTAGCTGATATAAACAGAGGGAGCGAGAGGCGAGAGAGAGGAAAAGAGAATGTGAGAGAGAGGAAGATAAGAGAGAGAGAGTGACCCCAGAAAGAGAGAGAGAGAGAGAGAGAGAGAGAGAGAGAGAGAGAGAGAGAGAGAGAGAGAGAGAGAGAGAGAAAGGGAGGGGGGGGGGGGGGGGGGGGGGTGACTGAGGTCAGTTTTGCCACTGTCTTTTTGGTCTCTCTTACCAGGGGTGCCGGGTGAGGGAAGAAGGGGGTCGGAGTTAATATTATATTGCTCAAATGTAATAGAGAGAAGAGAAAAATGGGGGAAAAAATCAAAATCTGTCCTAATTTTACACTCACTGAGTTAAAAATGTGGTATTAAATCTGTTGGCTGAACAAAAGCGCATTTAAAAAGATATCCTTCCTTACAGCTCCCCCTTCGAGAATACGAACACACAAACACACACACATATACACACAACACGCATACATACACACACACGCACATATACACAAACACACACTCAAACACACATCCACACATGCACAACAACAACTCAACATA